GGCATGAAGCCCTAAGGTGCTCCTAGATTGTTCACTTACACTAAGCAACAACCATAAGCAAACCCTCTCATCCTAAAGACATAAACACAGACCCACTGCTTCTGGTAAAGGGGCAAAGACTTCTTGTTTCTTGTATTGGAGTTGAGGCAGGGGGAATCCTCCCTAGGAGAAGGTCAGGAAAATCTCTTGGTTCCAGAGGATCCAATATAAAGAAGCAGTTCTGCTTTATGTAGCAAGGACTGTGCACTCTGCTGCCAGCCATGGCAGAAACTTTAGCCACCACAAAAGAAGGGGCAGGAATGCAGAGAAGATCCAGTCCAGAAGTTCAGGCACACCAACCTGCAGAAGGCTGGACCAGGAGAACCCAAAGCAGCCTCTCCCTTCCACAGCATTGCCCCCTAAAAGAGGAAGCATGTCTACTGGCAGGCAGGGGCACTGAGAGAACAAGCACCTCCTGTACTTTTTCTCCCCCTTTCTTTCTTATTTTTTTTTAAAGATTTGTTTATTCATGCATACAAGAACCGGGGTACAGGCCAGAGGTGCGGGAAGGTGAGAGGATTCACCAGAGACAGAGCAGGGACCAGAACAGGCAGATTTCTCCCTTTCTATCATTCATTCTTTCTTTCCTTTTTCTCTGTCTCCCCTACCTCCTCTCTCTCCCTTTTCCTCGTATTTGCTACCCACACATAACACACACATGAAAAACTGTAGAGAAGGGTTGACCTATTTTGATGTGCTTATAAATATGTGACTATGAATAAATCAGAAAGTTCACTTTTAATTAAAATAATGAATAAGTCAAAAAGTTTACTGTTACTTAAGAATAATAATTTTGTATACGTGTATGTGATGTGTCAACTGAAATAATTGCTGCTGTGAAGCAAATTCAAAGTTTAGCAAAAGAGAAATATATAAAAGAGGTTACTCATAGTCAAGTGGAGGCCTAGAGCTGTGCAGACCAACATCAGAGTGAATGATCTCTGAGTGAATGATCTGAGTGAATGATCCTGTCCTCGGTGATTTTGGCCGTGGCTTATATAGGTAAATTACATGTACAGACTATATGACCATTTTTTTCTTAACAAAGGAATGAAGACATCTGGTTAATTTCTAATATTTTCAGTTAGCTAAAGGAAGTTGGTTTCTAACAAATTAGTCAATTGATAAAGAAGAAACAATGTTCATAATTTTGAAATAATCCCTCAATTTTACAGAGCTAATTTAGCCAGAGCCATTTGTGTTTGGGAAGATGAAGGACCAAAGGTTATTGAATCTCTTATCCATTAAGTGTCTTAACAGACAAGGAGTGCAGTCAGGCCCTTTCTCATGATCCTTCTTCCTGAAACTCCCAAGCAAGACAGGGGTCATCTTTGGACAGTTTGGACCTTCCTTTGTTTCTCACCCAAGAATTCTTCACAGAGATCAAGGACCATTGTTCTATAGACTCCAGCCTCTTGAGGTGGCCCCGGTACAATAGAGGTGGACATTTTTCAACAGGACAAAAATGTAGACATTTCTTCTTTTAGTCCATTGGTGGGTGGATGGATGGATGGATGGATGGACAGATGGGGAGAGAAAATAAAAGAGACAGAGATGTCATGTGTGGAAAGAGAAATGAACACACAAATCAAGATTTTCTTTGAGCACACATATACATGAAATATATAAAAGTGGCATATAGCAATAAAATGAAAAACTCTGTGTGACACTCTTAGTATTATTTGATTCTGGGAATGAAGTGAGAGAGAAGGAAAGCAAAAGGAAATAGTCAGCATTATGTTAGCCCTTCCTTTAAAGTTCTATTTCTCCTTTAAATGAAACTGTATAAGTGTATTTTTTAATTAAAAAATCATTACATGATATAAAATTATAATCAAATATCACAGTACATCAACAGTTATCATTTTGAGTAATAGAGATATTTAGTACTTCTATTTATATCTGAAATTTCTCCAGATAAAAAATTTAAAAGATAAAAGGTATAAACTGAAGAAAAAATGTTGAGTAAATATCCAAAATGCTGACAGTGATTACTCTAGCTGATATGATTTTAATTTCCTTTTTTTATTTTTCATCATTTTCAAGAATTTCTTTTAAGGCTATATATGCTCAAAGCAGCATAAAACATGTTGATGGAAATTCTAGAAATTTTAATCTTCAAAGCAACAAGATATTAGTGATACAAGCTGTTAACGAACATTATTGTCCTGCTTCTCCACAACGGCTTCCATATCAAGGATTCACACCACTTTGGTTGCTTCCAGGGTTCAAATCTTCACTTTGATTATCTAAAATATCCTTCATTTAACTAAAAATACAAGAACTCACACCAGCTGCCCAAAGGTGGTGAGCACGTGAACAGAGGGATTGATAACCACTTTAATATTGCCTTTGGGAGATATTAACAAAATTCTTCTTATACACACATACACACAACCCTGTTCTGAAATCCTTTTGTATATGTGTAGGGGAGTTTCCATATTGCTTTCCTATTGACCTGTCACTTCCATCAGAGACCTGTCTTTTCCCATCCTTTCTCTGGATTTAGGCAGTCACGTAGCTTCGCCAGCTCCATAAGCCCCACTACCACCTACCCAGTGCCATTTTCTCAACACAACTAGTTAGAAAACATGGGGCTTCTTTGGTGATGGAAACTTTAGAGTGCAAGCTGCATAAGAGTATCCAGCTCTTATATATACAGCAGGTCTTCAAATACTTCATTTAACATCATTTCTAGAATGTAATAAAGACAAAATCCCGGTGAGGCCACCTAAACAGTGTTATTGCCGGACCTCTTTTTTATACATTGACGACATTAAGTGGACTGGCTGTGTAACTTAAACAAGATTGAAGCGTTTCCTGCAGGAAACACTGTATTTAGTATTCATCTATACCTTTTTTTTTTTTTTTTTTAAATTCCAGAACCTAATTTTCCTGCTTGGTTCATTCTGAATTTTAAAGGAGCATCCAAAATCTCTTAAATGTCTTTTGTCTCCTCTCCTTTTTTCCAATTCCCTTTAATTCTGCTTTTGTCCCCACCCTCCCCCCTCCATTTGGACTGATTGAATGATGGAAGACAAAAAAAGATTGGTATGTAGTATGGTTCCATTTATAGAATCTCAAAAACTGAAAACTATAGCTTTTAGAGATGCCTCAATATTAGTAGTTAAAATATACAAAGAAAAACAAGAGAAGGGTAATATTGTCAGAATGGTGCTTACCTGTAGCAAAGTGTGAAATGATTGGATTGAGGGAAACTGGCTTTTGAATAGTTGGTATGTTTTTCTTGACTTTGGGTTGGTTACATGAGTGCTGATTTTATAATCATTTACCCTATACAGCTAATGTTTACAAACATTCTGAATATGGTGATTATATTCCCAAAAGATATGAAAGGCTCCTTATGCTATTGTTATTCTCAAAGACAAAATGGGAGGAAACAATCCATCAACACTAAGTCAGAGTTTTTTTTCAAGAGTGTAAGTCTACCCTCCAACATTGTTTTGAGGGTTTGGAACACAATAAGAACAAAATTCCCTGTCTATATTGTTAGCTCTAATTTAATGACTATTAATGAAGTAGATTTCCCTTTAAGATATGAAAACTAAAAGACCATCTTCTCTTGGGATCAACCTCTCAAAATAAGTTCACTTTACAGAATGGTTTTATTTATTTCTCAGCTCTTTTAACTTTTTATTGAAAATATCTTTGAAAGACTATAGTCAAGTACTACAAAAATAAATTATGTATGATGTTAGGAATCACACAGATATAAACTTCAAGACTTTCACCACCAGCATCTATCACTATCAAACTTAGAATAAGTATCAAAATTGTCACTATGTCTTCAAAACCCACCTTTTCTGACCTCCTGTGCAGGAGTCCCCTTGACAGCATTCTCTCTGCCTTAGAGTTCACCAATTCCTCTCATTGCAACAATCTACTCCAGATACATTTGAGGCTCACTTCTAGTTATTCAGGTCTTTGCCCAAAAATCCATTTGTGAAGAGCCTTTCTACAATCCTTCTCTAAAATATACCCTTGTCGGGCCTCCCCTGGTGGCACAGCGGTTGAGCACTGGGTTGCGAGGCTGCCCGCAGCCTCTGCAGCGCCAGTTCGATCCCCGGCCACCGGCGAGGGTCCCACACAAAAAAATAAAAATAAGAATAAAAATAAAATAAAATAAAATACACCCTTGTCTTACATATGTATGTGTATGTGTTGTTGTGTGCGTAAAATCCTCTCAAGAATTTAGACTTTAAGCAAAAGGACTTTTAGTCACTACTACCTTATCCCATGCACATATAAGACTCCTTGGCACATGATAAATAAATAGGAAATATTTGTGGATAAATTAATCCCTATAAGTTTATAGAAGCTATAATAAATTAATTTATAATAAATAATAAATTAATTTCTGTACTGAGGTGCATGCATTCTTTCTTACATTTTACAGATAAAAAAAACTGAAGCTTATACACCTAATTATCCTTTCATTCTTTTCAGGGACAAACAAGCTAAAAAGGAATAGAAATGAGTTTAAAACCAACAAAAGAGAGTTATGTGATGTACCCAATCCAAAAGACACATTTCAGGCAAAACTGAATTCAGCAATGGAAAAGCATGACTCTAAAATTCAATAGAAATGAAATGTGGTTGACAGAAGAGACGTAAAACACAAAATGCAAACAAAAACGATGTGGGTTTGACCATGAAACATGTGCTTTATTGCAGAAGCAAAAGAATAGACACAGCAGTGAAGTGCACACAGGATAGAGATCACCACCCAGATCATAGACAGAAGATAGCAAAACATATTGGGAGTTGATATTGCTGTTCATCTTCCCACAACATAATGCAGCTTCGGGAACAAAGCCTTCTTCTCCACCAGCTGTGACACCAGGCAGGAGGTTAGGGAAGATGCAACCCATCACCATGGCTGAAGGGACTAAGCAGAGCCTGGATCTTCTTGCTCATGGTCATGATGAATTCCACAGCTGTTACTTGCCCTTGGGTGGAAACATCTGCTGGCAGGGTTGGCAAGGCTGCAACGGAGGACATTTCTGCTGGCATGGGGAAAATGAGCACTGCACAGGTGGGCATGGAGGAGGTAGACATTGCTCTGGACACTGTGGAGGCGGGCAGTACTCCTGGCACTTAGGCAATGGACATGGCTCCTGGCACTGTAGAGGTTGGCATGGCTGTGGGCATGGCTGTGGGCACTGTGGAGGTGGGCAGTACTCCTGGCACTTAGGCTGTGGACATGGCTCCTGGCACTGTAGAGGTTGGCATGGCTGTGGGCATGGCTGTGGGCATGGCTGTGGGCATTGTGGAGGCGGGCAACACTCCTGGCACTGTGGAGGTGGGCATGGCTCCTGGCACTGTAGAGGTTGGCATGGCTGTGGGCACTGTGGAGATGGGCATGGCTGTGGGCACTGTGGAGATGGACATGGCCCCTGGCACTTGGGCTGTGGACACGGCTCCTGGCACTGTAGAGGTTGGCATGGTTGTGAGCACTGTGGAGGAGGTGGACAAGGCTCCTGGCACTTGGGCTGTGGACACAGCTCCTGGCACTGTAGAGGTTGGCATGGTTGTGAGCACTGTGGAGGAGGTGGACAAGGCTCCTGGCACTTGGGCTGTGGACATGACTCCTGGCACTGCAGAGGTCTCCATGGCTGTGGGCAGTGTGGAGGTGGGCATGGCCGTGAGCCCTTAGTCATGAACACAGGAGGGAGCTGGCAGGGCTGCTTGCACTGTTCCTGCTGGTAAGACATCTTTCTTGGGCTCAAGGAGTCTGAAAAAGAAAATGACAACAATGTCATAAGAGAGGGAGAGATGGAAAATGACTGCCATCCACCCTCAGTGCCTAAGGACTCTCTGATCCCCAATGCAGCCTTTATGATTTTGTGCAGTTTTTCACCCTCCCTTTTAGCACCTCCTACCCTCAACTCTTCAATCTTTTCTGGAGAATCTCTCCTATCATTTTCTAAAGACAAAATTACCTCTTCAGTGACATGTAAATATAATAAACATTATCTGGGCTAGAGCAAAGATATCAAAATTCCAGTCAGACCCAAAACAAGCCTTTCCTCCTATCTCCCAAGAGACTGTGTTGCTGGTCTGACTGCCCCGATAGTCGTTCTGAGCCTCGGCCTTTTGAGGACGGGAAGGCTCAAACCCAGCTCTCAAGAGGATGGACTCGGAGAGGGATGCATTTGGACCTGATGCAGAGCAAGCAACAGAGAGTATCATGTCCTTCTTCCTCTCCTTCAGTTAAAAATCATACTTCTGACCCCATTTTCTCTGCACTTTCAAGGTCACCTACAAACAGCAGCAAAAATTCACCCCCAAACCCATTATCTTCTTTTCTCCATACCTGATCATTAATTGGTTAAAATAGTCTGTCTTTCTTTTCTTACCAAACTTTATTGACTTGCCATTCATTTACAAAACTTGGGGAGTACAATTCTACACCTCAGCAGGTGCACATGCTTCAATCGCCCTCCTCCTGAACTCCAGTGCAAATACAGTATCACGTGACTCTTAACTCCTCCCTACACCTCCCCTCTGGTAACCACAATAGTTTTCAGAGTCTAGAGTTATAGAGTAGACACTTCTGTCCCGGCTTAAATCCTAACACCACCCAAGCGCCAAGAAAAACCTCTAAGATCTGTACTCACCAGAGGTACTAAAGAAGATCAATGACCGAGCGTCAAGAGGATAGCACTGGTGTGGTGGGGAGTCCTTTTATAAAGGACAGATGATGATGCACTTATTTCCCAACCCAAATACCACGTGCATGCAATCTCCAAAATGACCTGCACACTCACACTGATACCACGAAACTTCCTTGTCCTCAATCCTCCTCACCCCTCACTGGGAAGTGCACAGCAATTCACGTGGGGCCATAGTCCCCATGCCAGTGTCATGTAGCAATTAGGAAGCATGAGAAATTCTTGGACAACTATGATGCTGCCCCCATCTCCAGCCTCCCCAGCATCCATATGGAAAATTTACTACCCCATTAGGTTGCGCCTGCCCAACATCTGGCTTTGTTCCCTTTGATAATGAGACCAGTGTGTGCCAGCCTTGCAGCCTGACCATATCTCACCAGAAGAACCAAACCTTAACCCTGATCCACAGTTTTTATTTACAACTTACTGCTCTTTTACCATGTCCTACTTATTGTTAGATTTTTCTAGGCAATTAATTGGCTTGAACAGAGCCACAAAGTCTTATCTTGGTTTCCTGGATGCTGACGGTCCCACGCTGGGTGTGTTTCACATGACTCCTTTAATGGGTTTGAACAGGACAGCATCATCCTTCTGTTTTCTAGGCCATACACAGACTGGGGCCCCTCCCTAAAGTTTCATATTTGCAGATTTACACACTGATCTGGTCTCTGTGGCCCTCAGGATTGAATGACTTATAGTCAACTAGAAACCCAAATTTGTCTTCTCTCATTTTCTTCAAAACTGACTCAATGGCTGGACTACACCTATTTCTCTTCCACTCATTCATACTCCCCTAATATCATGTGCAATTTTCCCCTACAAAAATCAATTGAATCTTTATCAGGCCTTCTGTTTTATAATGGTTTTTAGTGGGATTTTCAGATTTTCTTAGTATACTCAAGAAGTGATGATCCAAAAGTTTTATGTATACCATTCAATTCATGGGTACCTTTATTTAAGTAAATAAAATATGACTGACACAGAAACCATTGACAATTTCCTAGTGTAATTTGTTAAATCATAATAACATTTTGGCTAATAGTACTCATTCTGCCTCCTAGGGGGAAACTTGAATGCCTGGGCTATAGGCATATGCAAGCACCTACTAAGAAACTTTAAATATCGTCTAACTTCACTGAAAATTAGAAGTAAGAACTATATCTGCCTCAAAGTTTACTGCAAAAATGCAAACAAATGCCTATATAAAACAGATTACATGGTAGGTCTTCAAAAATGTGTGAGCTTTCCCTATATCTGATAAGAGATTAATTTTCCAAAAGATATAAGGAACTCCTACAACTCAGCAGCAAATATTTACATATATATATCCTTATACAGCAAATGTATTATATATAACAAATAATATTTTCTTTAATACATAGCAAATTATATAATACATATACATATATATATATATATTCTTCCTTCTTTTTTTTAAAGATTTTATTTATTTATTTATACAAGAAACGGGGTACAGAAAATTCACCAGAGACAGAGCAGGGAGCAGAACAGGCAGACTGATAAAATACACTGCTGAGGGGAGCAACGGGCATGACAGAAGAGGTCTGCCACGCCATGAGGGACCTTTGCTGGCCGGCGGGGATTGAACCAGCGCTGCAGAGGCTGCGGACAGCTTCACAGCATTGCACTCAACTGCCTGCGCCACCACTTTTTAATGGGCCCCCTTCCTTCACTTTCAAATGGGCAAAGGACTTGAATAGATATTTCTCCAAAGGAGACGTACAAATGGCCAAAGAGCACATGAAAAAGTGCTTAACATTACTACTCACCAGGAAAAGGTAAATCAAAAGCACAATGAGATATCACCGCACACCTTTTAGTATAGTGATTATCAAAAATAGTAAAGACAATAACAAATGTTGGTGAGGCTGTGGAGAAAAGGGAATGTTTGTACACTGTTGGTAAGGATGAAAAATCATGTGACCACTGTGGAAAAGAGTATGAGGGTTTCTCAAAGAATTAAAAACAGAACTACCATAGGATCCTGCAATCCAACATTTGGGTATTTATCCAACTTAAATCAGGATATTGAAGATACATTAACACTCCCCTTGCAGCTTATTCACATTAGCCAAAACGTGAAGACAACCTAAATACCCAACAGCAGATGAGTGGATAAAGAAAATATGTATCATATTGTGTATCACACACACACACACAATGAAATGCTCAGCCTTAAACAAGAAGGAAATCTGTCATTGGAGAAAACATGGATAAACCTGGAAGATATTCTACCAAGAGAAATAAGCCAGATGTAGAGATAAATACTGCATGATTCTCCTTATATGAGGAATGTAAAATAGTCAAACTCATGGACATAAAGAATTAGAAGGTGGTTGCCAAGACCTGGCCTTAGGGAAAACAGAGAGTTGCTAATCAATCAACAATACAAAATTTCAGTTATGCAAATGAATAAATTTTGGAGCTCTGCTGTGCAACATAGGGCCCATACACAACAATGACTGTATTGTACACTTAAAAAAAATCTGTGAAGACCATAGATCTCATGTGGAGTTCTTCTCACAACAAATACTTTTCAAAAGGAAAGAAATGCAAATCCCAAAATGTGGAAAAACTATTAAGAATAACAAATACCTAGTCATGATTACTAATCATGTCAAATGTCCAAAAATGCGCTAAAGAATGGCACTGTGTAGAGTTTAAGACCCATGCAGCTAAAATCCTCATCTGGCTCCTCTTTCTTCTCCCTGACATCCATGCTAATTAGAGGGCGGCTGATTGTTGCATCTCAGCATCACGCCTTCTCACTGGTGAGAAGAGCCCTACCCACTGCCTGAGGGAGGATTTCACGCCTTCATCTCATTCCAAGAAGAATGCTGGGCAGCATCCACAATCCCTAACTTTATCGGACTGGGACAGAAAAAAAAAAAAATGGCAACTTAATCTGGGGATTTGAGGAGGTAGGACCTTCTCCCACTGAGCCCTCCTCATGATCTTTCTCAGCATCTCAGAAGGAAAGCATGAGGCCAGCTGTCCCTGCCTAGGCTGAGATTCAGCAATGGAGTCACCTTGATCACTATTAGGACACTGACATATCTCCTGGATGCCAGAAGGAACAGGGATGTTCCTGGGATGGGTGCGGTGCCACACGACATTGTTTTCCCTGTTGAAATCCTAAGGATTAGAGGTGTTGCCTACTGGTGTAAGGGAATTATCTAAAGATTGTGTGATTTGAAACAGTTCTACCAACAAAATTTTAGACTTGCTTGTCTTTGCCTGGTGAATTACTAATAGAGTCCAAGGTAATTTTTAGCAATAAATTATTTGGATTAATTATGTTTGATAAACTGAAGGAGGATGAAACTTTCTTAAGAATGCTTGATGAAGTTTGCCAACTTTAGAATGAGTGATGACTATTTCTTGATACATGGAGGAAATCACTGAAGGACAGGTGATCCTCACATTCTGTGCAAATTAAGGAGGATCTTCTCTGAAGATAGTGTAAGATCTACACAAAGATTTGTTAGGTTTTACTACAAGGCTAATGGCTCTCCAGGAGAGAGGTTGAGTACTGGAGGTGACAAGACAGGAAGGGATTCTTTTTTTTTTTTTTTTAAGAATTATTTATTTATATAAGCACTGGATACAGTCAGAAGCGCAGGAAAGTGAGAGAATTCACCAGAGCCAGAGCGGGGAGCAGAACAGGCAGACTGACAAAATACACTGCTGAGGGGAGCAGCAGGCATGGCAGGAGAGGTCTGCGTACCATGTGGGACCCTCGCCAGCAGCCAGGGATTGAACTGGCGCTGTAGAATTGTGGGCAGCTTCGCAGCCCAGTGCTCAACCGCTGCACCATCAGGAAGGCCCAAGACAGGAGGGGATTCTAAATCTTCACTGGATGATCCTTTCTGTACCTTTTGAATTTTTGTATCATGTGTATTTTTTACCTATTTAAAATGTTTAAATATTTAAATGTCTTTAAATAAAATCATAATAATAACAGAGAACTGATAAATGATAAATGTAAGTTTTAAATGAAGAAATATGAGCAAACATTA